GCCACCATATTGAATGCATTAACAGACCTCATTGTATAGCTTCCAGATAAAACATTTTATAAATAAAATACACTAATCATCCTAATGGTAGTTGGAAGAGTCCTGAATTTCGAATTGAAGTATATTTCTTTGAAATACTTACAATCTGTCACAATCACTAAAAATATAATTTCAGGGCTCCATCTTATAGAATGAAAATGATCTGTGTGAGTCCATCATAGCATCTTGCCTTTGAACATAATGAACATAAAGTAGATGCGTGACTCTATAAAATCTCGCACCTAGGGACACAAGATGTAAACCTGGTCTCACATTAATCAACATAATGCTTCTCGAACCTGTTCCAATTCCATATATGACCCACCTTAAATAAACATGCTTCATTTATTTCAGTGGACAATACACATACCGTAATAAATGTAAAATATTTAGAAGAAAATGTCTCTGTTACAATCAAATATTGCTATAATGATCAAGGTTTGCAAATGAAGTATCTTTTATTTTTTTTTAGGTCACCCAGGAAGGCAATCTGTGAGCATCTCCATTAGTAAGACAGCTAGGATTTAATATTGCTACTCTAGATGATGGACTAGGATAGTCACACCTAGCCTGGGGCTTGTAATAAATGAAGCCCCATCCCATAATTTAGCACCAACAGCTGCAGCAGGTGTACTTGCACAAAGAGAACATATACATCAAATGGCTGATTATTTTCAAAGAATGTTACTGATATGAAAACATATATATAGATAGACAAGACGCATCTCTCAACAAAGAGAAAAGACCCATGGACTGCTGCTGAAAGTTATGTTAAAGGGATACTGTGACGGTAGTCACCATCACCTGGGTTTTCATACGGATATTTTATGTAGGGCCCTGGACTATTCCTATGTTTGTCACCCTGTGTCCATTTTGGGTGCAGGGTGTGTGTGTAATGTGGTTGTTTGGGGTTAAAGGTTATTGTGCTCTCCTATCTTGCTAATACTTGCAATCAAGGAATCTGACACAGGCACCCTTTGGATGTTTTGGACTACACCTCCCATGATCCTTTGCCAGGATTATGAGTGTAAGAACCTTATGGGGGATGTAGTCCACATCTGTAGTGCCGTAGTTTGCCTATCCCTGAACTAGGTGGATTTGGTTGTGGAGCCTGTACAACACCACCTGTTGGTTGCAAGGATCTAGCAACAGCTACATGCACTACCCGAAGAGCAAGGCTTGCTAATTTGCATATTCAGGTAGATTTGCATATTTATTTATAAAATATTTTACCAGGAAGGATACATTGAGATTTCTCTCGTTTTCAACTATGTCCTGGGTCCACAAAACATTGCATTGTCATATTGTCCTATTGTCAATAGGATACAATATTACAAAAAATACAATATACAAACAATATATAATAATACATAGAGAGAGAGAGAGACAGTATCTCACAAAAGTGAGTACACCCCTCACATTTTTGTAAATATTTTATTATATATTTTTATGTGACAACACTGAAGAAATGACACTCTGCTACAATGTAAAGTAGTAAGTGTACAGCCTACAATGTAAAGTAGTAAGTGTACAGTAAATTTGCTGTCCCCTCAAAATAACTCCACACACAGCCATTAATGTCTAAACTGTTCGCAACAAAAGTGAGTATACCCCTAAGTGGAAATGTCCAAATTGGGCCCAATTAGCCATTTTCAGTCCCCGGTGTCATGTGACTCGTTAGTGTTAAAAGGTCTCAGGTGTGAATGAGGAGCCGGTGTGTTAAATTTGGTGTTGTCACACTCTCTCATACTGGTCACTGGAAGTTCAACATGGCACCTCATGGCAAAGAACTCTCTGAGGATCTGAAAAAAAGAATTGTTGCTCTACATAAAGATGGCCTAGGCTATAAGAAGATTGCCAAGGTAGTCTTTGGTAAATAGACGTATGAGTGCTGCCAGCATTTCTGCAGAGGTTGTAGGGGTCAGCCTGTCAGTGCTCAGACCATACGCCGCACACAGCATCAAATTGGTCTGCATGGTTGTCGTGCCAGAAGGAAGCCTCTTCTAAAGATGATGCACAAGAAAGCCCGCAAACAGTAATCTTAAGACAAGCAGACTAAGGATGTGGATTACTGGAACCATGTCCTGTGGTCTGATGAGACCAAGATAAACTTATTTGGTTCTGATGGTGTCAAGCATCTGTGGCGGCAACCAGGTGAGTAGTACAAAGACAAGTGTGTCTTGCCTACAGTCAAGCATGGTGGTGGGGGTGTCATGGTTTGGGCCTGCATGAGTGCTGCCGGCCCTGGGGAGCTACAGTTCATTGAGAGAACCATGAATGCCAACATGTACTGTGACATACTGAAGCAGAGCATGATCCCCTCCCTTCAGAGACTGGGCCGCAGGGCAGTATTCCAACATCATAATGACCTCAAACACACCTCCAAGATGACCACTGCCTTGCTAAAGAAGCCAAAGGTAAAGGTGATGGACTGGCCAAGCATGTCTCCAGACCTAAACCCTATTGAGCATCTGTGGTGGGCATCCTCAAACAGAAGGTGGGGGAGCGCATGGTCGCTAACATCCACCAGCTCTGTGATGTTGTCATGGAGGAGTGGAAGAGGCCTCTAGTGGCAACCTGTGAAGCTCTGGTGAAATCCATGCCCATGAGGTTTAAGGCAGTGCTAGAAAAAAATGGTGGCTACACAAAATATTGACACTTTGGGCCCAATTTGTACATTGTAAAACGCGATGGGTGTACTCACTTTTGTGAGATACAGTGTGCATATATATATATATATATATATATATATATATGTGTATATATATATATATGTATATATATACATACATACACACATATATAAATTTAACACATCACAGGTGATAAATATATTCAACCATGACCGGTGCATTCTGTGCTGAGGTGCCATCGATCTCTTAAAATATTTTAGATTGAATGAAGATTTGACTGTGTCCCTGAGGTTATTCCATAATTGCGGTGCTCTCTGGGAAAAGGAGGATAGAGACACTTTATTTTTGTATTGCAGTATGCTATCTATCGTGCTAGTACTGGATCAGAGGTTATAGGAGGTGGGAACAGCTGGGAAGAGCATTCTACTCAGGTAGGGTGGGAGCATACCAGAAATGCTCTTATGCACAAGGCTGGAAACATGAAGAGTGCGTCGGGATTCCAGCGACAGCCAGTTTAGCTCTTTTAACATGTCACAATGGTGGTAAAGTAATTGCATTCTAGTAAAAAAGGGCAGAACAAATTGTATAACGTATTAAGTTTATTAAGGTGGGCTTGCGATGCAGGTGCACACACGACATACCCATAATCAATGACCGGCATTGGCATTTGTTGCACTATCTGTTTCCTTACTGTAGGGCTTAGGCAGGATTTGTTTCTGTACAGGGGACCTAGTTTTGGGTAAAGTTTTGAAGAGATTTTTTTCAATGTGAAGGCCAAAGGATAGATTGGGGTCTAGCAACATACCTAGATATTTGAAAGAACAGACTGCTGACTGCTATTTGAATTTGTTCTGATACATTGTAGTTTACGTAATTTAGCTACAGTTCCAAAGATCATTGTAATTGTGTTGTCAGTGTTTAGGACGAGTCTGTTAACCGCTCTCTGTGAATTAGTTTTGGAGCACAGCCTCAAACTGCGTTAGATTGGGTTTACTAGTGTAGATTACAGTGTCGTTTGCATACATGCGTATAGTTGAGGATTTGCAGACTTTAGGCAGATCATTTATAAATAATATGAAAAACATGGAGCCTTGGGGAACACCACACGTGACTGGAAGAAGGAGGCCACATATTGCACATATTGCAATCGGTCTGAAACATATGATCGAAACCAGGTTAACGGACGATCACCAATGCCTGAGTTAAGTTTTTGCAAAAGAATGCCATGGTCTACTGTGTCAAAGGCCATGGTAAAATCAAGGAAAATAGCTCCAGTTAAGTCTCCTTGTTCCATGCCAATTTGAATGTCATTGCAAATGTTTAGGAGGGCAGTTAAAGTTGAGTGATCTGGACAAAAGCCTGATTCAGCAGTGGTTAGATCATTTGATTGTTGATAATATTCACATAGTTGCGTGTGGACGCATTTTTCCAAGATTTTTGACAATACTGAGAGCAATGATATCGGGCGATAGTTAGATACCAAAGTATTGTCACCACTTTTATGGATAGGTACTACTTTTGCAGTCTTCCAAAGTTTGGGTATGTATCCTGACACTAGGGACTCATTGATAAGGTTAGTGACAGGTTTAGCAATTTCTGGCACACTGAGCTTCAGCAACATTGTTGGGATTTGATCTTGTCCACATTGGTTTTTCATTTTTAAATTAAGATGTTTGGGGGGGCGTGTCATGGACGCAACTTGAAGCAGTTGCATGTAGTTGCTGCTCCGTCCTAACGGGACCAATCAACCGAGTAATTGCCACAGACCTGAGCCCAAACCGACCATGTCCCAGGCTAAGGGAAAGAGGAACACAGAAAAGCAAGAAAAAACTAATTTCTTTGCTCAAGACCGACCATGGGGAAAAACTTGGCACTTGCTGATGCAGGCCAAGATGGCGGCGAAATGGGCGACCACAATGGAAGCTGAATCAGCTCTTACAAAATCATTGCTACAACAAATGCTGGATGACACGTCAGCTAAGCTGCCTCCCAACCTCCAAGCAGCACTGAACTGTGCTGGTGCACAGGAACAACAAAACATCGACAATTTGCACGCCAGCTGAAGGTCTGGATCTTCTCCGCAGCTGGGGCTACACGATCCTGGAGCAGCCGAGAGCCTCACCAGACACCGCAAGGATCACGCCCGGATGGTCGAAATCCCAACGCAGAGGGCACTAAAACACAGCAGCAGGAGAGGCAATTTTAATACTCATACCCAACCGACTACCATATATGCTTACAGAGCTTACGGTGCCAATTATACCTAGTCAGTCATGGACTGGCATGCAGTAATGAAGGTACTACCCTGCAGGGGTGGAGGGAGGTAGCATTGGAATGGGAAAGGGGACAATTAGCTGGAGGCTCTACTAATTCAAGCCCTATTATTGCCAACTCATGCAGCCCCGCGGGTCCCGGAAAAGTTTAGCCCACCCTCCAACCTGGACTACCAATATTGGAGGGGTGCCACTGGAGGGTAAAGAGAGAACCCCACCACTGCACATACTGCGGCATATTTTAGCATATTACTGGCCACACGGAGTCTGCAGACACTAGCTCCCCTTGAACTGGCCAACAAATAGAGAAGTGTACACCACCCGACGGCTCAATGAGGGGAACACGGGATAGGGCATCACTACTACACCCTAACAGACCAGGTGGAGATATGAAAATGGAACTGCAAAATTCTGTTGGACTTTGTATTAGAGACAAAAAGTATATATATATTATTTCTTTAATTCTCCTTTAATATATACAATTAGCCCCTCCGAGCCCTAGTTACTGGGCCCATGAGCGCACTATTGTACTCGGTCATGTTGGACCAATCATGATCCAGGAAGGAGCCACGTGCTCCTACCCCCACAGCACTAGACTCCAGTGCCAGCCGCACGCCAAGGCACGAATGTACATAAATGTTGAACTGTTGTTTGTTCTAACCCTGTTTTCTCCCCTAACCCCTGCCCAGGTGGGTAGCCGAAGCCGCTTCTTAATCTCATTCCGGTGCAACCGACCAAACAAGAGACGAAAGAGACAGAATACTCGGGGAAGGACACCCTGCTTGACAAAGCTGGGAAGTGTGAGCCCCCCAACTGACACATTAACATTATACACTACATTCACTCCAGCATTATGCGTGTATAAACCACCGTGAAGATATGCACGTATAATGTCAGAGGCTTAAACACACCTGCTAAAAGACATCTACTGCGTAGGGAGCTTGCACACTTAGTATGCCTCCAAGAGACGCATTATAGGACAGGCGACTTTGTCCCAACCCTGTTAGCGGAGTACCCCCACCAGTTTCACTCCACGACTGCGACTAAATCCAAAGGGACGTCTATCCTAATCAGTAAGAACTTGGCGTTTAGCCACCAATCTCAGGAGAATGACCAGCTTGACCAATTTCTTACACCCCGTATTTAGCAAGCTGACTAAAATTCAGAAAGGGACTACGATAATTAGTGGAGATTTTAATTACATCTTGGACCCTAAGCTCGACACTACACTATCACCTTTTAGCAAAAGCTACCATACCCTCAAGCGAGGCTGCCAACAACTACAGAAACTATTACACTCACAACATTACTATGATGCATGGCAAATAACCTACACACAAGACCGTTCCTACACACACTATTCCTCCGTACATAACTCCTACTCCTGTATAGACAGTTTTTACCTACATGGCTCCGCCCTCTCGCAACTCTCGAGGTGTGAGGTGGGGGACATCAAGTGGTCAGACCACGCGCCAGTTACATTGGTACTCAAGGACCAATATGACTTTCGCCACAGAAGCCCGTGGAGGCTTAACACAACCCTACTAACTGATCCCAAGTTTACCCAAGAACTCCAAACCACACTTACAAACTACTTTCAGGACAACTGCACACCAAACATGGCTGCAACTACTATATGGGCGGCGCACAAGGCGGTAGCTAGAGGGGTGCTGATAAGAAGGGTGACTTATTTAAAAAGAGCCAGGGAATCCCTATTGACCTGGCAAACGGACTTGTACCAGCTAAACATGCAGAACCAGAGAACCCCATCAGACGATCTCAAAAAGAAAATAGCCCATATCACACACCTCATACACTGCCAAGCTCTGGAACAGTCCGGCTTTGCCCTCAGGAGACTGAAATTGACACAGTACACTCAGGGTAACAAAGCCAATAGGCTACTGGCATCCCACCTAAAAACTAAACAGAGCAAGCAAAAGTTAGCATTTATACTTTCGAAAGAAGGGAAGAAAATTATGATACCCAAAGATATTAGCAACGAATTTTCACGCTACTATACAACGCTTTACAACCTCAGGCACGACACACTAACACACCAACCTTCCCAGGAGACTATAGACGCTTACCTACAGTCCACAAAACTCCCCACACTAACGACACAACAACAAACAGACCTGACAGCGCCTGTCTCTGAAGAGGAAGTCCTCTCGGTGATAAAAACCTTGAAAAAGGGGAAATCCCCTGGCCCAGACGGATTCAATAACTCTTACTATAAAACCTACTGTAACATCCTAGCACCCCAGCTCACACAGATTTTTAACGAAGCGGTAGCTGGACAAGCCCTACATAAAGACTCACTCATGGCTCATATAGTTACACTACCTAAGCCGGGCAAGCCCCCGACCCAGCCACGAAATTTCTGACCAATCTCACTCCTGAACACGGACGCAAAACTTTTTGCCAAACTGTTTGCTCTGAGGTTGGGGAGGGTTTTGCCCCATCTTATACACTCGGACCAAGTGGGATTTGTGGCGGGCAGACAAGGATCAGAGAACACTCGTAAAGTTCCCACCTCCTGGACAGCATCCATTTTGAAGCTGCATTCTTAGTGAGTTGTCCAGGACGTGGGAGGGTATGGGAGGGAGGGTCTGCTGCTGATTGGCTGGAATGTGTCTGCTGACTGTGAGGTACAGGGTTAAAGTTTACTCAATGATGAGTCCGTGGCGAACCGTTCGGGACATCACTAATTGGGCATAGTTGTCCCCCCTGCACTCCTAGCTAAAATACAGCAAACATTCCAGTTAGACTGGAGGTTGGACTTTGTGTCCTTCCTAGGACTTCAGATCACCCAGAATCCAGACAATCTGTTCCACCTTAATTATATTAGGCTACGCAAGGACATAGAAGCCTCATGGGAGGGGAAATATATATCGTGGCTGGATGGCAGCAGTAAAGATGCTCCTTTTTCCAAAGCTTCAATACCTGTTCCGTACCCTTCAAATTCACATCCCACAATCTTATATCAACACTACACAGAAACTTTTGATGCAATTTATATGGGAAGGCAAGAGGGCGAAGGTTGCCACTAGAATCCTTCATAGCCCAGTGGAGGAAGGTGGCCTTAGCCTGCCAAACCTCAAGCTTTACTACCAGGTGGCGTTACTTTCCTCAGGGGTGGGCGCACTAGTTCACAGGGATCCTCCACAGTGGATAGCTATAGAATCATACTGGGCACAAGTACCAAATCCAAACTACCTCCTTTGGGTCCCAAAGACCCTACAGCCAGAAAGAGTAAACATGCTCCCCACCACGAGAACGCTGGTGCGGGTGTGGGACGGGGCAAGACTTCTCTTGTGTGGCGGCGACCGGTGGTCGCAGGCCGCTCCTCTGAGGAGTATCCAAGTACTAAACCCCTTCTTTAATTACCACTCATGGACAGGACAAGGATGCACTCACATACATCATCTATTCCTTAACGGTAAACTACGAGCATTCCCAGACCTGCAAACCACGTATAACTTGCCCCCCAGAGTGCTTTTCTCCTACCTCCAACTTAAATAGATGCTATCTAGTTCTAAAGAAGGTGAACGAGCATGCACGGCAGAGCATACCCCCCAAAAAACGCTTTCCAGCATTTACAAACTACTAAACCAAACAGACCACAGGGACTCACAAAAATACCGGACACTATGGCAAACTGACCTCAAAACGGACATAACCCCAACACGCTGGCGTACGGCGTTCCAAGCTCGTAAAGGCAGAACACTATGTGCATCCCATCTAGAGGTTATGAGAAAACTTTACTACAGGTGGTACATGGTGCCATCAAGACTCGCACACATATACCCAGGGACATCAAACAAATGCTGGAGATGCCACGCAGAACCTGGCACTATGTACCACATATGGTGGACATGTCCATGTATTCACCCCTTTTGGGCGATGGTCGAGAACACACTTTCAGAGCTATTAGACACACATATGAAGCTCAGCCCCACGTTAGCATTGCTGTTTTTAGATCTTAATGACTTCCCCAAAGATGACGCTACCCTAATATACCACGCGCTTATTGCAGCACTCACGCTCATGGCCAGAGTGTGGAAATCCACATATGTTCCCTCCAAGCAGGCCCTCCTCCAACAACTCACCACTAACTTAGACTATGAAAATATGGCTAGGACTAGCTCACACGCCCACCAAGGGATCCAAAGATGTATTGCCAGACTAAACACCTATAGGACTGATGACACCACAGACCTGGAGGGATAGGAGAAATTGGGGGGGACAAAGGGAGTCCTGGTGGAGTACGAACCAGGCTTCATAAATGGTATACATACAATACCTCTGGGAACACCCCAACGCATACCCAAGAACCAAGGCAACTTCCTGCACACCCTGCCTGAACACCTGCACAGGTCCTACCTCGGAAGTGTTGATGGCGGCCATTGACCCCAATATAGGGTTTCCGAAAAGACCGTGAAGGTGGCTAAGCCCAACCCAGGGATAGTCCACTCCACTAGCGAAACCAAGATGCCTTTTTTCTACTAAATACCACCTAATACACAAGTCTCTTATACACCAGTACCTTGCCGAGGCGCCCACCCACATGTACATAGTTTTGCACAGACACAAGCCTTGCATAATGACAGAAACGAAGTAGCTTGTAAACCCCGAGTAGATATACAAGACAGCGAACTATCTTGACGGAGCTACCCAGGGGACCGGGTGACAATAGCAGTTGAGCGACCCACCCCTTCTTGCCAAGGCTTAGCTTAAGCAATTAGAATGATATGCTGGAAACCAAGTTACTGCCAATCGCCTAAAGGTCATAAATATAATGTCCTTATTATGCAAGTTGTGAATACTATTATTACCGATACTGTTACGAGCAAGAAGTGCACTTTACCCCCCACTTCCCCTCTTCTTCATTCTGTACCCCAAGAAAATCAATAAAAAAATGTAAATTTGAAAAAAAAAAAATTAAGATGTTTATTAAGAACACTAAGAGGCACGGGTCTTAAGTTAAATTTCTCTATATGAGGATTTTGAAGATTTGGCAGGGCCCGATCTTTATTTGTGGTCTATAAATGAGTGTCATTTGTTATCTTAGCAACCAGGGTAAAACTTGGTTGCCACATGTTGGTTCCAAAATATATGATTTGAACAAATTCTCCTTCCTGGAAAAATGCACAGCTTATCTTCACTACATTGCTGTATTTAATGATGGAATCCCATAAAGGAATTGTCCCACTGGATAAGGATAACCGTGAGTGAAAATTGCAGTTGATGAAAATTGCAGCAAATTAGCAACATCAATATTAATGTGGACAACAGCCTTGGCAGATTACGTTAGTGGAAATTGTGAGCCTTGACCATTGCACTAAAGCCGGTCAATTTGCACTAGAACTAATTAGTGCAACAGTCACATCTGTTGCTGATCACGTGGGCATTTCGAAATCCTTATCCTCTAATGCCATTAGTCCCTTCTTAGGGCATTGTAGACCGTATAATTAAATGTATGCAACATAATCAAAACTGTAATCATACTGGCAAGGCCCTGAGAATCTTCGCAATTTGCTGACTGTCAAAATTCAATCTTGTTATACTGTTTATTTACTGCACATAACTCTCTATACACCAAACGCTTAAAGGATCACTCCCTGTACTTCAGCTCGCCTGTGAAGAGTATCCCATTGTAATGTCAGTTTATACAAGTGCCTAATTTAATGAGAAATTAGCACTTTTATAATTAATTAATGAAACACCCCCTCCCCCTGGCTGTCAATCTACCAGCCAGGGAGGTTTTCCTCCCCCCCTGCATACCTCCTTCTCAGATTTTTAGACTGTTGGTCTCTCCTGGGAAAAAAAGGGAGGTCTTGCAATGACTTCAGTTCATAAGGACTGCAACTTTTGCATGATCTTTTAAGATCTTCCTCCAATGAATACATGTGTGAAAAATGCACGTATGTATTAATTGGGGTATATCTACTAAAGACGTATGATTTCTACTTTTTTGCCCATTTCGGCAGTGAAGTATCCCTTTTAGTAATAAAACTGAAATTATGCTAATATTAAGATTGTGAAGGTACAGAATAATTCAGTTATCAGTAAAAACCCACATTGGCCAAGTTTAATCAGGTTATTGAGTGGATTATAGAATGGGATTGCTGTATGGATAAAAAAAAAAAAAAGATGATAGGGATGGCTGTGGGTCTATATAACTTCTTTTGACAGAGGTGCAAATAATGTTCAAGGTATTTGTTTGGCGACTCATCCCTCAATTTGAAACTTATTTTAGGAAACAATTCTTCAGTTATATTACATAGGAAGACTAACTTTTTTAAGTTCCTCCGAGAAATGGACGAGAGGCTGCGTTGCACTGAGGAAGGGATTACAGGTACAAAATTCAATTTATTGTAGACCGTTACCTATTTCTAAAAACGTTTATTGTTTAAAAGAACGTCTTTATCTTTTCATTTTTATGTTTTACTGTAATCTTGTTCTTTGTACAATTAGAATTACATTATCTTGCTCTGATGAACATGTATTAAGTCTGGTCTTTACTAAACAAGGAATTACCCTGGATCTTCCATTACATTTGACATGACAGAGCCCCATTTAATGTGGGAGGTTTCTCTAGCATGGCAATTACAGTTTTATAGCCTTCATTAACTGGCCATATTTATTTAGCTTTACCTCTGTGTCTCCCCTCCTTCCTGCTGTGTGTTTCCTCCCCCCCCCCTCCTTCTTTTCCTCTTACCCTCTAACTGCATACTTTCCATCCTTCCAAATTTTGGCGGGATAGTTCTGATTTTCAGGTGTTTTCCCGCCTTAGTTCACTTTTTGGGACACCAGGGAACTGTCCCCAACAATCATAACACAAATGCATCATAAGACACGCTTGCACTACATTCAAGTCACTAGGAACCTGCATGGAGCACTGAAACAATGCTCCCTGTATGCAAGGCCTACACAGCATACGGCTCGTCGGCCACTTGTGGCCCACCAAAGAATTTCAGGCAGCCTGCAAGGAACTACCGCCAGTGCAGCCACTGCATAGTACCAGGGCCCGCATAGTTAGGAGACCCTTCGGTTGGCCCATGCACTTAGGACCACGCGGTGGTCATGTGTCAGCAGGGGCCTGCTTGGGCACTGCTGCGCTTTAACAGCGCGATCGGGACCATTGCTTATTGGCCACATGGGAGGAAGTGAGTGCCGCAAGTCACTTCCTCTCAGAGACTGGAGCCGGGCAGAAGAGGGAGGAGGTAGTGAGGAGGGGACCAGGCCAGGAGAAACTTGAACTGCACGGAGGGAGCAGAGAGGAGAAGGAAAAAGAGGATGGGGTGTAGGCTGCAAGGCCAGCCCCTAACTCCCAACACCCTCAGCCTGCAGACTGGACACAAGGGAAGCCTACCTCCAGCACCCAAAAGATAGGAAACTGGTAGGGTGGCTATAAAAGTGTATATTTTTACCTGTATGTCTGTCAGTGTGTGTGTGTGTCTGTATGTATGTCAGTTTGTGTTTCTATGTCTGTCAGTGTTTGTGTGTGTGTATCTTTATGTATGTCATACACCAGCACCCAAAAGGTAGGAAACTGGAGGGTGGCTATAAAAGTGTATGTTTTGACCTGTGTGTCTGTCAGTGTGTGTTGTGTTTCTGTATGTCTGTCAGTGTGTGTTGTGTATCTGTAGGTTTGTCAGTGTGTGTTGTGTGTATCTGTATGTCTGTCAGTGTGTGTATGTCAGTGTGTGTTGTGTTGTGTATCTGTATGTCTGTCAGTGTGTGTGTGTTGTGTATCTGTATGTCTGACAGTGTGTGTTGTGTTTCTGTATGTCTGTCAGTGTGTGTGTATCTGTATGTCTGTCAGTGTGTGTTGTGTTTCTGTATGTCTGTCAGTGTGTGTTGTGTATCTGCATGTCTGTCAGTGTGTGTGTGATAGGCGCTACAAATCTGTGGCTTGAAGAAGCATAGTCTATTTACTTCTGGCAAGTTGTGCAACCTGCGCTCAGTAGGCCGGCCTGAGTGATGAGCAGACAGCCTGGTGTGTTCTCACCAGGCTGACCTGCCATTATCTTTGGCAGACCCTCCCCCTTCCATGGCAGGTCTGACCCCTTTCTGTGCGGAGCTAGTGACACGATCGCGTTGCGGGTTGACCATCTTACCTCACTCCAGCTGGTGTGGGAGGGTTATTTACTAAAGTGGGAATTCAAAGTGAATTTTTAATTTTAGGCCAAAGCAGCTGAGCTGGAAGCATGGCTGAATTTTTCAAGTTCGGCTACATTGCCACTAAGTTAGAAATTCACTTTGAATTCTTACTTTAGTAAATAACCCTGAAACTCTCTTCAACCATCTCCTTCTCTCCCTGTGACTCTATTTGTAAGACCTTGTCTTCTGTGTGCCTCCCTCCATTCCCCCTCTCTCCCTCCCAGTCCCCCTGGGTGCCCCTCACCCATTCTCTTTTTTGTCTGTTTCCCTCTGTTTTCTCCCCCCTTCTCTTTGTGTCTCCTCCTGTCCATCCACATCTGCTAGGTCCAACACTGAATAAAACTTCCTGCTGGTAAACTATATTTCTATCATTAAGTTATGCCATAGTCTTTATTTCTACCATTATTTATTTCTATGCCATGGTGAGGTCTCTAACTAAAGCCATTCTGGGACGTGTGAGCCGCTTGTTTGCTCGGATGCCTAAGCACATGTTCTACTCTGCATGTTTATATTTGATTATTAATTGGCCTGGGTTAAGGGGTGTCAAAATTTAACTTTCCACTTCCAGAAAGCCTTGAGCTGGCCTTGTTCAGGGTTATATAGTACAAGCATGGATAGCTAAACAAGAATAAGATATTAGGAGAAAGGAATGCAATGGGTCCTTTCTAATTAACCGCTGCATTGCGAAAACCGCAAGCACATTGTAGTATTTAAAAATATAATAAAATTTAAAAATAATAATGAATGGACCACATATCTAAGTCACTCTACACATTATTTTTATTGAGTCTAAATGTTACACTACGGCTAAAATCATGCTGTGCAATAAATTCCCATTGTGCAGCATTAAGTCTATGTTGGAGCTTTAAAAATAAAAGAGAGGCGGTGTGCGTTGTAATAAAAAAAAAAAAAAAAAAATGATTCTAGCAACCTACTTTTCTACAAACGATTCTAGCAATCTACGTCTTCCTGTGAGTCCAACTCATCTGATTACAAGTACTTCTCTGTTAGTCCACCCATTGTACAGCGCTGCAGTATCTGTTGGCGCTTTATAAATAATAATAATGATGCAGTGCTTTGCTGTTTTATTCTCAGCGTGGCTTTAAGCAGTATCATGTCAAACATCTGCTGAGGACTACAACTCCCTTAACACTTAGCTAAGCTATGGACAACTTGAGGAGACTTGCATCGATTAACTGCATCTAGTGTCACTCAGTATCTTAGGTGTTTCGTCTTCTGAAAAGAGAGGCAGTGCCATTGTTTTATCTGTAAAAATAGGTCATTGGCAAAGGGTTAACATGAGCATGATTCATGCAGTTCATACCTTCATACTGAAACTAATGTGGATTGTCTGTAATAGTGGGAGTGACAAGTGATTCGAGGTCACTTTGATTCACTGTTCTGCTGGTGTAGCTTGTGCACGCATTTGTGTTGTGTGTCAGTGCTGCTTTGTGCTGATTCAGGGTGTGTTGGCAGTTTGTTAGAGGCAGACTAGATCACCTATCGTAGACCTCCAGGCTTTTTTGGGATTATTCCAGCAGCTTTGTATCAGGTTGATGTTTAATGTGTGGGGCTGGTGGGGGGGGATAACCAAAGGGACTTGTGTCGCTT